TGGGTGGGTGGGGGGTGTTAATCCATCATGAATACTTTGAGTTTTTGGAATGAAAACTGGCAAGAGAACGCGGTTGGAAAGTTGCACTATTCATCCCGGTTGCATCGTGTACGTCAGAGTAAGTTCGCCAAAAGATATGAATTATAGCTAGAACAGAAAGGTCGAGCTGCTGGAATAAACACACAATAGTAGGTCCAAAAAATAAACCAGAGTACTGGATTTTGATCGATAAGTTATGGACAGTTGTAAAAACATGAATCGATCGTCTCTTCGCCAGCGCCATAGCGAGGCCTACATACAACCAAGATCCAGAAGAGCAGCATCAAACCAGATTGCATCTTCTCATCTCGTAGTCATCATAAGTCAGCACATTGTCAGGTGCTGATGTTAAATTAGGTAACTGCTTTCTTGTGTCCTCATGTGCATATGAATTGAAAATTAATTGTAAGATGCGATTAAGGTGAAACACAAAGTAAATTTGTTATCCCATTTACCTATCATTTTCCCCTGTCTAACTGATTCTCCATCATTCCACTTTGTTCTGTATCCCAGTCCACCTGCCCCCTATTATTGTTATTGTTATGATTGTTGTAGCGTTGGCACCATGCTTATCTACAAGCCGGTGTTATATATATATATATATATATATATATATAACCGAATAAGTATACTTTACGAAATACAGTACAAGGAATGATCGAAGTGAGTACTGAAAAAATGTTCCTGCCAATGATTCACATCAGATATTTGTGCTGGTAGTTCGTTAAACAAAAGAATGATTTGGTGCGGATTGAGTTAATCTTGAGCAGGTTGATGATGCACTCATTTAGAACTATCGAAGCTTGCTTTCTTCATCAGTAGTGAACATTGATGCAACATAGTTTTACAGGTATAATAAAGACAAAAGGACTACACATGGCTAGAATTTGCGAAAGATTCTTGGAAAATTCGCGTATGGTTCTGGCTAGCACGCTGACATGTTCGCTTTGCTTTCGGGGTCCATTGTTCATTCTTGCAGCTGCTGACATTAACTACTCATAAGTAACAAACAAACTAGCAACTTTCGTATAGAAAAAAGTGAATTATGTGTTTTCAAACGGTTGGCGACAGACGAGATGCTGCGAATAAGAACTTAAATCATTGTAGTCTAAAAACACACGTTATACGAAGAAACATTCAGTTGAAATGGAGAAATAGACTAAATGACCTTACCTGACGAAAGTACAGACATAAATAACAGAGATTTATAGTGCACTTTGTAAACTCAGTGAATGAACAAACGGGCCTCGGTAGGTCAGCAGAATGCGAGTGGACGATGAAAGTTAATGAGCCGATTGTTGTATTGTTTTCATAATCACCCATAAGCAGGGAATATTGATGGAAGAAATGGGGATGCCAATTTGCTTTATGAAGTAAACCGACTAGATAAATAGGACCACAGTCTACCCAAGTGCCATAATGTTACCATAATGGGATGCAGGGAACTTTATCGGAGTTGGGTAACCCAAGTGCTTGCCAAGCACGTTGAAATTTCAACCATATGTATTTTGGAAATTTATGAATAAAAATATCTTTGTATCCCGCTGTGCTACTTACCTTTTGCAATCAATCAATCAATCAATCAATCAATCAATCAATCAATCAATCAATCAATCAATCAATCAATAACGTAACCAACCAAGCAGGATGGTTATCAAGGATATAAAACAAAATTACTTACGTGATTCGATTTTTCATTGAGTTGCTGTTCTGTCCATTGCAATTTTTCACGTAATTCCTTCTGTTGCTGTTGAGACTTTTCTATGTCTTCAGTTTGTCTCTTGGCCTGCAAAGCAAAGGTGAAATCACTCAGTTTATTAGAATACTATTCTCATGAAATGAATCGAGAATAATCGCGATCGGTCCGAAACCTTATTCACTGTTTAGCTGCTCACGGACTGTGATGAGGCCTATGCAAAGTATCACTCAGTCACACGCGAAAAATCGCACTAAGCTATTCACTCTGGTTGGCAGCTATAAAAAGAATATATTAACCCGGTTCATCAAAGGAATTCACTAACAGACATGCATTTATTTATATTGTATTATCCAAAGCAAAGAAAATAAGTCTTTATCGTGTGTTACAACTACGTGGTTCATGGGTCTTGTCGATTATTCAGGTGACTGGGCAACCCCGCGTACACTGTCGTCCGGGTACGAATAATGTTCATTCCCCCAAGGGTGAAATTTCAGATCGATCTGGTTCGATGTTCCTAGAACCTCTCAAGTTTTCTGAACAATCCTATTTAACTGATTCATTTTCAAACTATGCGATTTCTGTTAATTGCTAACCTACTCGATTTCACTGTCGGATTTTCTGCAAGGCACTAAGTCAGAT